CTTTGCTCTGGGGGTGGGTGGGAAGTGGGTGGAGCTGCCGGGAGGGACAAAGCTGGTTTGGGGAGTGGGAGGGTTGGAGCTGGACTCTTTCTTGGTCAGGCGCTCCCCTCCCCATCTCCCAAGGCAGAGTGCAGGTTTCTCTGTGCCTCGTAGGTGACTGCTTCCTCACCAGTTGAGTTGGAGGGGCCGGTGGGTTGCTGGTGACCCTTTTCGTCTCTTGGCACCTGTTGCCTCCAGGAAGCAGGGCCTTTCCCAGCACCCCCAGCGGGGGAGGGGGGGCAGCGGGCGGGCGGTGTCCAGGCCAGCACCAGCCCCGGCAGCTGTGGTGGCAGGAATTAGCCCAGTAAGCGGAGGCCAAGGGGCAGGGATACAACTTGAGTGGTAGGGCTGTTTTTAGAGACGCCGTTGCCATGAGCAGCACCTTTTCAACTCCTCGGACTTTCTTCTCCTGAGGCCTGGAGCAGGCTCCCTGGCAGGGAAATGCAATTTTAGAAAGTAGGGCAGGGGCCTAATTACAATCAGCTCCAAAGTCCACTGCCTGTCACCGCCTTGGCTTCCTGGGGCCTCTGCATATTCATCAATTGGTTAAAATGAGTTGACCACTAGTTTATTACCAGTCTGCGAAGACAGGTTGTGTATCAGACGGTAGTCAGCCTTCCAGAGGGCTGCCTAAAACGAAGCCTTGGAACCCTCCAGGGCAGCGGTTCAGGAACTGTCATGACCAATTCCTTAGGCCACTTCTCGGGAGAGCACCTAGCAGACCTGGCTCCAGGCCTCGCCCAGCTTTAGCCATCCTTTTGACGGGATGGGGACCTGCTGAGCCTTGGTGGCTGCCTGCTTGGCTCCTCCTCTGGTGCCCACGGAGCCCCGGCAGGCCTGGGTGTCGCCTCTGTCTTGCCAGCGGCAGCTCGAGCGCCTGGCAGCTGCAGCCCCGCGGCTGCATCTTCAGCTGACCCCTGTCTGTTTCCTTTTGTTTTGTCTTAAATGAGGTCAGGGCACATTCTGCCCGCGCCCCTGCCTCTCGCACTTTCTCTTCTGCAGGCAGTCTTCAAAGAGGCTTGCCCCTGCGGAGAGGCATCTGAGCTGGAAGCGTTCCTGTTGCTCAGATAAGGGCTTGGGGCGGTGCGCCTCTGTTTTGGTTAGCTTTGCGGTCCTGGGGCGGCGAGGGGCTGGAGGTGGAGTGTGTGCACTCGGAGTGGGTATGAATGTGGGAGAAAGCAAGCATGTGTCCCTCTTCAGCGGCAGTCACCACAGGAGCCTGGCCTTTGGGAGGTCTTAGGGTAACCACTGTCCTTGTCCTTAGGGAATTTTATTTCCCAGTGGTGACTCAGAGTGCTGCCAGGGTGAGGGACTTGCCTGAGGCTTGGTTTTGCCTCCGGGGGTCTTTAGTGTCCGTGGACGCTTAGAGCTGGAAGGACCCTTGGAAAATACCTAGTGGAACTTCCTTGTTTCTGTGGATGAGGAAATTGGGGTCCCAGAGGGGAAGTGACAGGTCCAGGGTCACCCTGCCAGCTGGTGGTGGAATTGTGAGGGAGGGCAGACCTTCCCAGAGGCTGTTCTGCCGCCTGTCTCTGCAGTTCACAGGCTGTAGGCCACCTTTGAAATGCCTCCTTTTGGCTCTGTCCTTGCATCTAATTTGTCACTGAGGCGAGCTGGTATCAAATATGTCCCCCCTCCATTCCAGGCCCTCCTCGCTTCTTACTAGGCTCTTGCAGTCACTTCCGCTGGTTTCATTTGTCGGGAAATCCTGTTCACCCTTCAAGGCCCGGCTCAAATGTCACCTCTTCTGAGAAGCCCTGTTCACACCTGCCCGCCCCCACTGCCCCTGCTTTGTGCTCCCAAGGGCCGAGTTCTCCAGGGTGTTTGTCCCATCATTGGGGGTGGGGGTGGGGGGGGTGGTGCACAACCTTCCTCCCAGATGGGGAGCTTGAGAATGAGCCTGTGTGCCTCCTGCCTTGGTGGCTTCCACACAGGAAATATGCCAGTGTGGCAGATCGAACACAGAGAAAGGTGATTCCCTGACCCTGACTGTCTTCCCCACTGCATGGGCGTCTCTAGGTGGAGAGCCACAGATGGAGCCAGCAGAGAGTGAAAGGGGTGACGGGGCCAGCGGAGGTTAGACTTCAGGCTTGCCAAGGAGAGGGGTGGTGGAGCGGTGGTTGTCCCATGCAGGAGGAGAGCCAACCTGCAGGGCAGTGACAAGCTGCAGCACATCAGAATGAGGGGCCCAGGATTGGGTTGCATGAATACAGCCCAGATGATCGAGGGGGACGGGAGAAGGGCCCGGGACTCGTGGGTGGGCTGAAGAGAAGCTGATTTGTCTTCAGAGCAGGAACTGCACGCCCTGGCAGACTTCTCTCGATGGGGTGGGGAGGGCCCCTGCTTGCATGGAATATTCTAGAATGAGATCAGCACCTCTTGGGTCCAAAAGAGGATCTGGTGATGGGGAGCCCAGGGACATCACGGGTGGTTTCTAGCCTGGCCAGCTAGGCCAGTGATCAGAGTGTGATGGGAAGGCCACAGGCTGATTGCATCTACCATTTAGCTTTGTCCAAACCCTAACCGATGATCTCAGGTAAGTTACTTCCCCTCCTGGGCCCTGTTCCTTCATTTGCGAGGAAGGTTGGCTGAGGCCACCTCAGAGGCTTCTTTCTGCTTTTATCCTGGGAAGGCATGTGGAGCGCTTCCAGGGACCGTGAGGCAGCTCTCCCAGGGTGTGCGAGGTCGACTTGCCCCAGCATCGGAAGCTCCTACTTCTCTTGGTTGGGTTTTGCACTAGAAGTGAGACAGGCGGCAAGCCAGGAGCTAGTGCGTGGGTGCGTGTGTGCGCGCGCGCGCGTGTGCGTGTGTGTGCGCGCGCGCGCGTGTACAGGAACACGGCCTGGGAGGCTTGTGCTCAGAATCCGGGTGACTCAGCTACATGGCCGCGGAGCCCACCAGCCTGTCCACAGCCTGTGGAGTGGGTGTGGGGGCTTGGCGGGCTGTGCTCTCGGCTGGCCAGCCTCTGGCTCAGCTGCGTTACGCCCTGGGTATAACGACTAGAACTGTGTTATCCACAGTGCTGTGGGTGTGCTCATGACCGTGGCCAGCCCACTTTCCCGGATGTGCCTGAATAAGGAGAAAACAAACGATCTCTCCTCCTGTACTCTCACGACACGCGTGCTCACCAAATCGACTATATTTTGTATTCTGTCGCAAGGTGGAAAGCCAGGTTGAGAAGCAGGGAGCAGCTGGGACTGGTCCATAGATGCCTCCCAAGTTCCCCCCTTGCAGGAATCCCCCCAACCAGCCCCCCACCCCGTACCCTCATGGTCAGCTCTAAGGAGAACAGTACATTCTCCAGACTGGAGAGGCCTTTGCCCCTCTGTGCTGGTCCTGACCCAGCCACCACTTTAAAGCCAGGGCCTCTGCTCGCCCAGATCTGTCCAAAACCAACCTGGGGGCATGGTGTCAGATTTGCATCTGGCCCGCAGTTTGGGGTTTGGGGGAGAGTGTGGCATATTCTCTGGGGGATATCCCTTTATTTTTTTATTCTTATTCTTTATTTTTGAGTCACTCTGTTGCCCAGGCTGGAGTGCAGTGGCGTGCTTCATGGCCACCGCAGCCTCGACCTCAAATTCAGGCGATCCTTCCGCTTCAGCCTTCCAAGTAGCTGGAACTACAGGCATGCGCCACCACGCCCGGCTAATTTCTTTATTTTTATCTTATTTCGATTTTTTATTTTTTTATTGTAGAGACAAGCTCTCACCATGTTGCCCAGGCTGGTCTCAAACCCATGGGCTCAGGCAGTCCTCTTGCTTCCACCTCCCAAAGTGCTGGAGTTACAGGCGTGAGCCACTGCATCCGGTGGGATATACCTTTAAAGAATTTATGACAGGAAGAACCCCTCAGAGGAGGAGGCTTTCGGGGAAGCTCTGGCACCGTAGGTGTGAAGGGGAGCTGGTTCAAGGGACAGGCCTGATCACACTGTCTTGAGGAAGCCAGCCCATTTTGGGGTCTGATTCGCCCTCTTTCTTGGTGGTCTCTCCCCACCCCCACAGGCTTTTTGAGAAGCTTCTGTCACTGAAGCTCTGCAGAGGCTGCCACCTCTGGCTTGCGAATGTTCTGGAGTAGCATAGCGTGGCGGTGGTGGGGGAGGGGTGCTGATGTTACCACAGAGCTGTGGACCATCACCTAGGAGACGGTGAGCGGAGCCGAGGCCCACGGGTCAGAGTAGAGACAGGCACCCCCAGCCTGCAGCCACTCGCCGGGCTGCTGAGGGCTCTGGCTGTCTGGACCTCTTGATGCGGGGGGGTGGGGGACTTGAGGGGACCACACGGTCTCCCGGGATGAGGGGTGCAGGGCCTCGAAGAGGCCGTTTGAGGCGTGGAAGTTTATTTCTGAGGGTCCACTGAGCAGTAGGGGAAGGAAGTTGGTGGCTGGATTCCAGAGGCTGGTGAATTATCTTGGTCAGTGACTTCCTGCTTGTTAGCATGACCTTGGTGAGAAGCGGGTGGGCACAGGCTGTTTGGTGGCGATCTGAAGTCGAGGGGTTTGGAAGGTGGCCTGGTTGGCTGGGCCTTTCCTGACGGGGGCGGTCCGCGTTGATGGGGCGCCCCTCCCACCCAAGTTCTAAGGCCAGTGGGTCTAGGGAATCAGAGGAACGAGGGCTCTGGTTCTGGGAGCTCCCAGGCGTTTTGACTTCTGTTTGGCTTTGGATCGGAATCTCACTTTGCCGCCCAGGCCGGAGTGCAGTGGCATGCGCACGGCCACCGCAGCCTGGACCTGCTGGGCTCAGGCGATCCTTCCGCCTCAGCCTTCCAAGTACTTGGAACTGTAGGTGCGCACCACCACGCCCGGCTAGTTTTTTGATTTATTGTCGAGACGAGGTCTCATCAGGTTGCCCAGGCTGGTCTCCAACCCCTGGGACTCAGGCAGTCCTCTCGCCTCCCAAAGCGCTGGGATGACAGGCGTGAGCCACTGCACCCGGCTGTGTTTTGACTTCTGCTTTCTTTTGTTCTTCAGCAACCAACCAGTGGTTCATCCCAGCCGTGAGAGGGGACATCCCTCCTGGGTGTGCAGCCTATGGCTTCGTGTGCGATGGGACTCGCCTGCTGGTGTTTGGTGGGATGGTGGAGTATGGGAAATACAGCAATGACCTCTACGAGCTCCAGGTAACAGAGTGGAGAGCCCCCGGGAGCTGCCTCACCCTGCCGCCTCGGCCCCAGGCGACCTCACGGTGGTGGCCTGGGGGGTGAGATGCGCGAGGAGGTGGAGAGGGTGCTCGAGTCTGCCGCGGCCGCTCGGAACTGGCCGCCTCAGAGCAGGCAGGGCCCAAGCACCCAGGCCCTGCTTCTCTGACGTGGCGCTCACCTCACCCCGTGCCATCTCCTCCCCATGCCACAAGGTGCCCTGGGCCCCCAGTGGTGGCCTTCTCATCCCAGGGTTCAGACTTCAAGCCTTGGTTTTGCAGGCAAGCCGGTGGGAGTGGAAGAGACTCAAAGCGAAGACGCCCAAAAACGGGCCTCCTCCATGTCCTCGGCTCGGGCACAGCTTCTCCCTTGTGGGTAACAAGTGCTACCTGTTTGGGGGTCTGGCCAACGACAGCGAGGACCCCAAGAACAACATTCCGAGGTGAGGTTTTGTCCTCTTTTCCGTAGACTCCCACCAGGGCTTTGTGGAATCCCGAAGGATCTGGGCTGGGTTGTGAAATGAGAGTGGCACTTGACGCCCTTGACGGAGCTTTCCATCTCTGAAATCGCTAATGACCGGGAGCAGCCTGCGGAAGGAGGGCTGGGCCTGGAGGTGGAAGCCCGCTTTGCCTTGGGTTGGGCCCTGCTCCTCAGACCCAGCCTGGAGCTGGTTGCTTTCCTTCTCGGCCTCCACTGCCTCCACTGCCTCCAGGTTTCCTGATGGGTCTTTTCCAAGGCCTGTGGCCAAGGCTTTCTGTTTGGAGGTCGTCCCAAGTCGACGCCCCCTCTTGCTCTGTGGAGGCCGTCGGATAATGCCCGGCTTTGTGTGTGCCGCAGCCCAGAGGGCCCTGCCGCACAGCCTCGTGCGGCCCGGCCCGCCGCTGCAGCGGGGCTCGCCCTAGGGCGCTTCCGGCGGCTCCTTCCTCGCGAG